TTGTAATTTTGAATCCCATCCAGAAGACAAGAGAACTCCTAAATCAAGCATTGGGACAAACTAGCCTTCGTGGGGGACTTTTTGATAGGGTCAACCCTCATTTGCTTTACATGCCGAGGAAAACTGCGAAAACATCCCACGGTTCCCACGACGGCAAGAGGATTCTAAACCATGATTCTTATATCATTGAGGATAGTTTAAGTTAGCAATGCAGAGGTGCGAGCCATCGCTGGAAATTGAGCCTGGGTTTCCTTATTGGGAGGCGAACGCTCAATCCCCTGAGCCACCGCGGCTCACTCTAATCATGTAAGTTAATTATTTTTGAACGTTATTACCAAGTATTGTAGTTCAACCTGAACTAAAACATGGCTCAGTTTATTAGCTTATTAAGATATTGCAGCAAACTTGAACAAATATGGGTTCAACGTTGAACTGATTTATCTGATAGTGCAGCTGTGAATGTGCTTGAATAAAGGTTATCTCATAATTATAAAGTTATTAAAGTATTATTACAATATTTAATATAATTTTAAAGTAAAGCTTGATGTTTAATTGTATTTAAAATTTCCTCAGTTCAATAGCTATTAAAATTAAAAAAATCTACGAACTCAATGATAATTGTAAATTGGATAAGTTGTTTCACAATAGTAGTTTGTAGATTGCTTAATGTTTAAATTATATTCAGGTAATTAAACAATTTCAAAACTTTAACAGAAATTGTTCGCGAATAGTTTACTTAATTTTTTTTGTTTTGATTTTTATATTTATTCTTTAATGATAATGTTATTTTTTGCAGAAAATATGTTAAAATTATATTTTATATAAGATTAGAAAAAACCGATAATAACGCAGATAAATTTTACTCTTAAATCTTTTTTTTTAACTCCTTTAAACCAGCTAGCTGTTGACACTATAGGATACAGATAGGTTGCTTTTATCGCATAACAAAGCGATTATTAAGCGCTATTAAATATAAATAATAAAAATTATGTAACAACAGGCCAAAGCTTAAGTAAAATAACCTTAATAAAACCATTTGATTGAAATGTAAATGTTTTATTTAGATCGTTTGTGAAATAAGCTGTAAAAAATCTACTTCCTTTTAGTTTTCGCTGTATTTAAAGAAAGAGAACTAATATAAACAAATGTTTACTTATATATGTTGAATTTTCTAGACGGCCCCTTTTTTCTGATACAGAAAGTCCATAAACTTTTAGGCAACATTGCCATAAAAACTAGCTCAAGCGGATGGCAGATAAAGCGAAGTAAAATGTTTATGCTTGTAAATGATTTTCTAATAAATAGAAAGGACCTTCTGTCTTTGAGAACTTTTTCCTTCTTTTTCTTATTTACGCACTTTTAACCGTTTATACGCTGGATTCTTGCCGTCATTTTTTTTTTCCCTTCTCGTGTTTTTGAAAAGGGAAAGAAAAAAAAAACTTTATTTTTTGTTTTTATTATCCTCTTCTCGAAACGTTAACTCGAAAAGTGGAGTTGCACTTTAAAGAATCACACAGACGAAGAAGAAAAATTGAGCGAGGAGAAAAGGTAAATTAAGATGAATCTGCTGGGTTCTTTGGGCAGGAGGAAGTTGGTCCTAGGCTGCTTACTCCCTTTTTTCCCGGATACGCCGTTCCGGAGCAATGTTGCGGAAATGAATGCAGCCCTTTTTTTTCCCTGTTACTCCTGTTTCTAACGATATTGAATGATTGAAGGGGTGGGAGAAAAACGCCAACGATGTTCACTTTTAGTCAACTTAAATGGAAACAGTATGGAACATAAAATTTCGTTTGTAACAGATTGGGTTGCAGATGAAAGCGGCTCGAATAGATATCGATCTGGAACTTTTATGCCAGAAGTACAAAATATAATCCTTTAAGAATCAGTCACGAAATGTAAACAGCGACGAGAAAATATCGGGAAAAAGTACCAATAAAAATTTATTTTGTTTGTGATATAAAATTTGTCTAACTTCTTTAGGGGATTATTTATGTATAATGCTATCGTTATTTTCAGTTATTTCAAATCTGTTACAGAATCTTTGAAAATCGTTTTTTAAATAACAAATAACTTTAAAAGGAGTTTTTATTTACTGAAATCAAAAACAAATTTATCAAATTTTGTTTCGATGACGCAGTTTGAAAGTGCACAGATTATAATCTGTAATTATTAGATATAATCTACAATTATTAGATATAATCTATAATTATTATTAGATATAATCTATAATTATTAGATATAATCTATAGTTATAATCTATAATTATTTGATATAATCTGTAATTATAATCTATAATTATTAGATATAATCTATAATTATTAGATATAATCTATAATTATTAGATAGTGGGGAATCGACAACACTTGCTTAAGCTGAAATTTGCGATGAATTTCCTGATCGGGACACACAAACAGAAGAATGTTTTGAATATGTAAAAAATAATTAATATTTTTCTCAATTTAGAGCGATCGTTCTACAGTGCCGAAAAAGTCGATTTAATTCTTTTTGAAGCAAGCAAAAAAGTTGTCTACAACTATCAATAAGAAGCATTAAAAATCTAAATAAATAAATATTTCATATTTATATATAAATATTTTATATGGGTCCAAAAATGAAAAATTTCGATTAAAATTCCTAATATTTTGGGTTTTTGTTGATCGGCTTGTGACAGAGCTTAAAAGCTACTTTTTCTTAATTTGAATATTTGTGCAAAAATTAAGAATAATTAATTCATTCGGTCCCCTCCCCCGTCAATGATACTGCAAGTTTAAACCAATCACTCACTCTAAAAAAGGGGTTTCTCAAAATTGAGCAAAAATTTGTCAAAATATCTCCGAAAGTTATGTTTATAGTCTATTTATAACAAATCACCAAATACTCTAATAGGCTGTTTTAATTTTGTGCATATTATTACACTGAATAAGGAGTATAGTGCGCAAAATAAAAAAACAGACGACCATGAATAACTTTTGATCTAATGATTGGATTTTCACGTTTTAGTACTCAATCTCAAAGGCTCGAGGGTGTAAAATTTTTTTCCTCAATGCTAGACGGCTCATGAGTCAGATAACCGAGGAAAGGTTTTGTGGTTTGCCTCTCCATGCAAAGCAAGTGCGGGTTAGTTCCACCAAAAAAATTCTTCCATATTTAACCCAGGAGTTCCTTTGTCTTCTGGATTGGATGCAAAATTACAAGGCTACGAAGTTGAAATCTAGTAGCCGTAAACTCAAAATTAGGTCGGCTGTTCAACGACGGCTATAAACTAAAATATTTAACTGCGGTTTTCATACATTGGCTTCGTACAGGTGCAAAATATAAGATATTTAAATGTTCGAAAAAAATATCTTGAGCTTATTTTTTCAAAAACGTATACAATCTAAAATATTTTTTAAAAAAAATTAGAAAAAGCCTTAAAGCACCTCATCCCTCAATATTCCATTCTGCCTCTAACAATCCCTCACGCATCTCCATCCTCCATCATCATCATCAGTAGAGAACTTTCATCTCTTTGGAAGACGCACAGGATGCTAGAGAGTTAAAGAGTTCGCTCCAACGACTTTGAACAGAAACATCGTTAGCAACGTTAATTAAAGTGTATCCTGGCAAAGTCAGGGAGAGGGGAGGCCGCACCACTGTCCTTATCGAAAATTAAGCGTTAATATTCATCGAATATGAGGGTGTGCATCATCTTTTCCAAAGAGCTGATTGGGAAGGATAAAAGTTAAGACTGTTTCAGAGTCTGATGTTTTGCGATAGGTTAAGGTTCGACGATAAGCGATTAACTTGGGATAGAAATGCATCGATGTGTGTAAAAGAAATCGATATACCGACCCAGTGCTACACGTTCGGCCCAGAGGTGATGCATGAAGATGACGTTAAATGAGATTTTAAGATTCGCACCTTTTTTTTCCCCCACTTCCCTACGAGTATTACAGTGATGAGATTAAAAGAGGGAGTTATTTAGCCGTCTTCTGCTATAATATTTTGAATGTTTTACTTCCTTTTAGTTTTTGATTTGTTCTTAAACTAGATATCATATTTATGCATTATTTTTAAGCTCAGTTGAGGAGCTGGGTTCTAAGAAGTATCATTTTAGTGGATTTGAGTAAATTAGTTTTAAAGCTAATGCGTTGACAATAGGAAATAAAGATTATAGACTCTTTATTTCTTCAGAGGCATCAAAGTGGCTACATTTTATACTCTTTTCTTAATACTTGTAAAATGAAATTCCAAATACTTGTTTGGCGGTCTTCGTTATAAAGTTCGCATTCTTGGAGTTTTATATTGTTGCCAAAAGGCAAGTTTTCTAAGATTAGTCTTTGATTGTAGTTAAATTCACGTTCTTTAATTACAAAAATAGTCTAAGTCAGCCACTCATCTCTGAAATTTAGTGGCTTTTCAAAATAAATCAATGTCATACGGTTAAATAAGTCGAATTTCTTAATTTTTTTTTCAAAAATGCTCTTTAATGGTTAGAATTACACATTTTTAACCGTATAATTTTATGTTTATTTTTAGATATAGATTTAAATTGCTTTTGTACATTTAAGTTCAAAGTAATCAATATATTTAAATAAAACTCATGAACTATATAATGTTACACAATGTTTTGTTTGATATTTTTTTAAAAAATCTTAAGGAAAAATAAAAACTAAAGTTTTATAATAACTCAAACTGAATTTTTTTTGAACTCTTTCTGGATCATTTGCTCATTTTCAAAATTATGTCTTTTAAATATAAAATGTAAAGAAATTGATTTAAAAAAAAAAAATTTTTTATAATCTTTTTTAAGCATTTCCACATTTGCAAAATGTGGAAGTGCTTAAATTATTACTTAATTTTAAAAAGTGGGGATTTGATTTTAAAAAAAAATTAAAAAGGATTAATTTGTTATGGAGTATTTAAGATACTTTTTGAAAAGAAGTATTCTAACTTATTACAATCCTTTTATTATTATTATGCTATCATAAGATGATGAATGCAAAAGAAATAAGACTTACCCCTATGTCTGTTGGTCTGCTTATCAAACATCAACATCGCGTCTTCTATCTGTAAAGAAGAAAAATTCATGTTTAGTTTTATGTAAATATTATACGTAAACTTTGATTTTAGCTATTTATCAGCAGGATGCTCTGTAAAAATCACCCTTCATATGTAATTTTTTGGAATCAATAATTTTTTAGAACACTTATTTTTTTTTTAGAATTAATAAAGATGGGGAAAAGGTGCACATTAGGGCTAATTTATTAATGAGTGTGGAAAAAACACGATTAAGACACTGAACTAACAAATAAATAATAAGGAAAGTAACATTATAACTATTTGATTGCCGGAGGAAACAGCGAGAAATTAAAGAAGATGAATGAAACACCTCCAACTTTCAATCCTTTCAATCAGGAAACAAACTTGCTTAAATGTTCTTTACTTATTAATAATGATTGCTAATATATATATATATAAATATATATATATTAATTAACATTTCATTTCTTTTTTTTTTTTAATGAAATGCTGTTCGTCATTTTTTTTACTTATTATTTCCCACCCCCTTTTTTTCATATGTCTATAATTTTTCTTTGTTTTATTCTTCATTTTGAACTTATATATATATTAAGTGCTAGAATTGTTAACCATTAAATGAAGTTAGTTACTCTTGGGAAACGGCATCCATCATTTCCTGTTGGAAGATGATGTTTGACTAATTTGATGGTCATACCATGAAATATGTTTGTCATTGTTTGTCTAACATTATCCATTACATCATGAAGATATATGATGTCTTTCTGCAATGATGGTCGACCATCGAATGAAGTTAGTTGCTGTTGGACTAACATCATGCATTATTTCATGTCGGAAGATTATGTCATATTGATTTGATGGTTAACCAATTCGATATGTTTGGCATCGTTGGTTTAATAATTGCCATTACTTAATGATGGGTTTGTTCAACAATCAAATGAAGATAGTTGTTGTTGGACCAACATCATCCATCATTTCATGATAGAAGATAATGTTTCAAATTTATGAATGTCAATCCTCCGGTGAAGTTAGTCAATATTGGAACAACAACAGTTATCATTTCAGATTGAAAGATGACATTCAGGTAATTGGGTGGTCAACCCATAAGATAGGCTTGGCATTGCTGAACAATGCTGGTCCAACTATGAGCACCATATATCTCAGATTCCTGCTGCCTCTCATATTTCGGTTGTTAGAAATCCAAATTCATCGAAAAAAAGTATATTTCCTCAGAGAAAGCATGTTTTCATGAAAAATTTCGTTACTTAAAATATCTTCCATTTAAATTAATTGGCATATTTGATGTCGCCTCCTCAAACCATTAAGATTAAGTCCAGAAACGTGAAGATTCGATTATTAGAATAAAAGTTATTTAGGGTGGCTCATTTATTTTTTGCGCATTATACAAATTGATAAATAAGCTGAACTGCTACCCGCGTGGCAGAATTACGCCTGCTACTATCAAATATAGGTATTTAAACTAGACAAAATATCTTTAAACTGGAAAGATTATATTTTTAAAGAGAAGAAGAAATATTACTACTNAAGAGCAATGGCTCTCACTTCCTATTGAACTGATAGACCGCATAATTGAAAGCATCACACATCGCTGTTTGTGCTGTATTGCTTCTAGAGGCAATCATATTCCATATTAAAGGTACTTTTTCTATTGCAAACCGATACTTCCAATTTGTTTATTTTATACATGTGCTAATTTCTATACTACTATTAATGTCTGATAATTTCTTTTTATGTTGTTTAATACCTTACTATGTGTTGTATATTGTGGGTAAGTTTCATAAAATTCCATGTGTAATTTCTTGAGTTATCGCGATTTTTGTGAATTTTCCTTAATTTATGATAACCAGTGTATATATATATATATATATGCTCATAAAAGTTAATCACTGAGACTGCATCGTAGTTGGTTTTCTGTATTACTCAAATCGGTTGTACTCAAAAGCATATTTAAATAGCGATCGTGAAAGCATATTAAGTGTGAATCTGTAACTGAGAACCGGACCTGTAAATAAGTGCTGTTTGAGGCTAATAAATTTTGATGTACAATCTTTCGAGCATTGCAAAAAGTAACAGTTTGGCATCTATATTAGTTTCGGAAAATTTATAAAAGTTGTCGAAGGATAATTTCTTGTCAATTGCAATAACCATACGACATTTCCGATCAAAAACCCATCTTATTATTTGCGATTGAATGGGTTTTAAGCACACCTGATTAAACCTGGCAATCCAAGTAACGAAAAGTTTAAAACAAAAATGATAAAAACATCAAGATCAAAGGTCGTCTCACGGAAATCTATTCTGCATTAGAAAATTACGACAAGATAAGTTGAAGTCCACTTTAAGCTGGCGTAAGTTTGTAGAAAATAAAAAAAATACGTGCTCCTGGTTTTTGATAACTTGAAAGGGGATGTTATAGTAATAAGAAAAGAAAGAAAGATTTTTGGTGCTATTTTATATTAACAAAAATCATGTACAATTGAAAATCGATTCAAATAAATGATATGAAGATTTGAGAGTATTTGGTAGATTTCAAAGTATGAATTCGATTTAAATTATACAGAATTTTCAACAAATTTATACTTTTAATAGTATATTAACATTTTTCTATTAAATACTTATACAGTATCTAAGAACAACTACTTTATATGTTACTAAGATACTATAAAGTTAAGTCCTACTTTCTGAGTATAATAACTTTTTCTTAGACCACCCTAGTTGCTATAATTTTCTGTTTTGCAATATCAAACTTAACAGAACTTCATTTCTAGACGCATATATATATCAAAATTATATCCAGTACGGATGAAACCACTGAGCTGACGTGTAAAGCTAAATACATAATAATGACAGAGCTGTTTCTATGAAATTCTAGGAAAGTTTTCATCCTTTACAAAATTCAAAGCTACCAAATTAAATTGAGGACATTTAATATAAACTGCCGTGATTCGCCCACAGCTCCATCCGGAATGTCAAGCAAGAGCAGAAAATAAGGAACGCATCATCTAACAAACTGCATCATTCCAAGATCATAATTAGCCTTTTCCTTTTCAAGAACTCTATAATCAAAACAAGCCCTTCCATTAGACAATGGGTATTAACAAATAGTGACAAGTCCCAAGGCAAACTCACCCGAGAAAAACACAATCGGCTCTAATAGCAGTTTCGCCATTTTCCCCAAGAACTTAATGTGCCCCGCTGCAAAATTTAGGGTAATATATAAGGAATGAAGTTTGTCATCCCTGGTCCAATGGACTAGCGGAACGAACTCTAATCCACCCTCTTTTGCTCCAGAGGGAGTCTTGATGAACAGAACCAAAAGAATCTTAACGACAAAACTACTGAACATTTGAGCTCAAAACTTGGGAGAAGGTACATTCCTGGAGACAGAACAAGGGTGGAAAAGGGTTTGGGGGGTGAAGATTATGAGCCCCTAATTACATTGTCGTTTTGCCCTGGTGGAACTGAAGAATTTACTCATGCGCTTTACATGGTGGATAGCGGGGTGGAGACGGTCAGCGAAACGGACTAGTTTGGATTTTAATCACAGGTTCGTGCTGTCAAAGACATTGGTACCCCCGCCGAAGGGAGTAGCAAATATGTTAATCGATAAGTTAATATTCTGTTTGCTTGTCCTTGATTCTGAAAGAATTATTTAAACAGCAGAGAGTTTTCTGAAAAGGCTGTGGTTATGAGTTTTAATCTATTCAGTTCAATTCCACACGTGTCTACAAGAGTTGAACTAATCTTCACTAGATTACCGGGTGTGTCAACTTTTTTTTGCTGTATTTACTTGAAATGTAGCTTTCACTTGATCACTTGAAAAGAGCTTCCTAATTTAAAGGAAATATATCTAAATCCATGTTGTTATTACTAGTAGATTGGGTCTAAGCAGACGAAATTAGTATGTTTCTTTTTGACGGAAATGTCTCAAATCACGAAAATCAGTGAGAAAACAAAATTTTCAAATTGGACTTATTAGTTTTCATGACGAATTTAGCCTGCACACTCAAAGAAACATTTTTTCCCAATACATTTAAATTCAATTCAGTAAAGAACAATGAAAATTATTTCTAAAGGTACAATCAAAACCCCAAAATGAAAAGCAGTTAAGAGCAGTAAGGCATATGTTTGCCATTGACATGCCAGGGTCACAAAAAGAGGGCATGTATCTGTATCTACGAGTTCCATTCTATAAAGATGACTCTGCAAGTAGTTATGGGCCGTTGCAAGACTAAAGCAGACTAATTTCAAGTAACATTATGTAGTACACTGACGTCGCGGGTGCTAATTATAACGCCTCAACTCTTAAACTTACCAGTACATTTTAGGCTACCCCAGAGATAAAGAAAAAATGCAAGTGTTTAAACGGTAGCAACTAAGGAAATGCTTTATTTTTCAAAAAGTTACATGATGATAAAAATCGCCAGAAACTTAAATACGGCTATAAGCTATGATTGGACAAAAAGTGAATGCTAGATTAAATGACGTAACCAATCACGATGATCATGCAGTTTTATGATATGGAACTAGAATAAATCACTTTATAGTTAAGTATTTTCAACTACGATAATAGTTATACCTTTTAAACAAGACGAAGATGAAACTCAGAAATATGTAGTGCATTTTTATTAATTTAATACAGTCAAACTCCGCTATAGTGAACAAGGTTTATAGTGAACTCGCGGATATAGCGAACGATATGATCGCTCCCCTGCCTTGCTATACACATATAATATTTTTTTGTGTGGATATAGTGAACCAAAAGTAGAGAGGTGTAAAGTTTAAAAATATTAAAGAATTTATAAAAGCAGACGATTGTAAAATCTAAAAATATTAAAGAAATAATGGGTTTGCAAAATCATAATTAAAATAAAGTAAACGCATAAAGAGATAAACTTAAAATAAAAGCAGACGAAAATTAGAAGTCAATATTTAGAACGACAGAGTTGTTGATTCTTTTTAGATTAGTTTTATTGTGGAATTTGAGTTTCCGTATATCCCGTTACGGG